CCCCACTGCAACCCCCCCCCCCCCAGCTATACAAGTTTCTCTCTCCTAACACTGGTGCTGATGGAATGCCTGAAGTCAGAAATGAGAAATACAGGTAAAGGGGTGAGGATACAAAAAGATTTTTCAAATATGAGTGGTAGAAATTCTTGGTCAAGCAGTAGCAATCATCTGAACAGAAGCAGGTTCACAGACGTCCTTAGTTCACCAGCTTCTTTTTGGTTTGCTCACGCGCCTAAGGAACGCAAAACCAAGCACAAGGGCAGCTTGATGTAAATTGTGGGTTACAGGCTGAGCTGAGGTCTGAGGCATCCCCCAGCTGGGAGCACAGCCACAGAGAGGAAGGCACGTCCTCAGCCCCAGCCTGCCTCCCCCAGTCCCAGTCTCCACGGGTGCCTGGTTATTGCTGGGAGGAAACAAAGCTGCTGGTGGAAGCTTTGCAGAAGTAGCACAGCAAAGTTTTAAGATATTACCGTGTCCTCCTTGAGCTTCCCAGTAGTTTCGATTGACTGCTGAATAGCTCTTTTGACTCGTACCTCTTCATCTTTCTTTTCTACAAAGCAGAGAACGGGTTTTTAGACAGTGTAGTGACTGAACGTTAGAGTTAGGCTGTTATAAATAAAACTAGGTTTTTGTCAGCAAGTAGCTTGTTTAACTGTTCTGGCATTTTTTAAAAAATGCTTTATATTTGTGTTATGGCCCTGTCTGTAGATTCCAATTGCGCAATGAGCGCAATTTATACGTGTTTCATCGTTCACTTGAGGCATTGGCAGACAAAGGGCTATGGCACACTGTTTTTGGAAACAGCAAGAGAAAGCCCCGCTACGTAGAGGGGCTACTTCATACTCACCTGAAAATGAATTCCTCAGTTCTTCATATTTGTTGTACTTCTCTTCTGCTTCTCTCTGGGCTTCTTCCAAGGTAATTCTGCTTGTGTTTAATTCTTCTTCTTTTTTAAGTAGATTTTCAGTTGAAGTTTTGATGTCATTCTTTAATAAAACTAAATATTAATCAATAGTTTATCTAAGCAGCATTTAATCCATTAACAATTCAGCATATCCAGAGGAAAAAAACCAGACAAACAGAAAAAAGAATATTGGAAGTGATCCCAAGAGGTCATCTTAGTCCATCTCTCTGCTCTACAGCAGAATCAATTAGACCTAAGTATCCATGACAGATGTTTGATTTGCCCTTAAAAACCCTAGTAGTAGAGACACCATGTCTCAGACAACTGATCCTAGGGTTTTACTACTCGCGCTGTCAATGCTTTCTTAGGGCCCAACTTTTTCTTGAGTTAAATCTATTCTGTTTCCTGTTATTTGTCTCAACAAGTGGACAAGGAGAAAAGCTAATCATGTTGCTATGGACTTTTATTTATTTGGTAGTTGCTACTATGTCCTCTCTTAGATTTACCTATTTTAAATGGAAAAACTGCATATTTCTTCAACCTTTTTTTGATCATCTTTCCAGAGCTACTGGAGAGAGTCCAGCGGAGGGCTACGAGGATGATGAGGGGACTGGAGCATCTCTCCTACGAGGAGAGGCTGAGGGAGCTGGGCTTGTTCAGCCTGAAGAAGAGAAGGCTG